ACAAACAGCTGATCAGCTGTTTGTCGGCTCAGCGCGGCAGCCATGTAAATGTAAATGAAGCTGCGATTATTTAAATCGCCGCTTCATTTTACTGTGTCGGGTAGCCTAATCTACATGCCTCTGTCGCCAGAGGCATGTAGTCTAGACGTACCCTAGAATGTCAACGTGTAGATGACTACGTTATTAGCCTAGGTTTATTGGTTAATCTTGTTGACTACACACATTCCCCCTGCCCCGCTGCCTCTGTAACCAGAGGCAGTAAGGGGGGGGGGGGAAGGGAGCTTGTGTCTGCTCCCCATGAGCATTAGATCCTGTGGAGCTGCCTGTTCCTCCACCCCCACACTGCTACCTCTGATAAAGACAGGCAGGAGCTGGTACACACGGGAAGCTGGCTTTCAAGCCAGATGTCCGAATGTATTGGCACACTGTTGCTTTTCTATCAGGCGGGAGCCTATATGCATAGGGAGCCAACTTTTAAGCCGGCTCTCCACATGTGCCAGCTCTGCGGAGCCACATGGCCCCTTCTCACAAGCTCCCACCAAGGCAACGAGAGGGGGAAGGAAGGAGCTGGTTCTCGGGGAGCTGGCTTAAAAGCTGGCTCCCTCAAGCACTGGTTCCGCCTCCCCCTCCACCCACTGATGCCTCTATTGGTCGGGGGGCTGCTGCGGACCGGGGGGGGTGTGTGCCAGCACAGAATCTGTCTGCAGGGAGCTCGGGCCCCTCTCAACAGGGGCTGCTGCTGTGCTGTACTGCTACCTCTTTATCGGAGGCAGCAGCGCAGGGCGGCAGATGGGAGCTGGTCTGCGGAGGGAGCTGTTTTTTAAACTGGCTCCCCTTGCGAGCTGGCTCCTGCCAGCCACTTTGTGCTGCTGCCTCTGTATCAGAGACAGCAATGAAGGGGGCAGGGGGTTCTCCGGGAGTGGGTCTGGGAGTGCACTGGCTGCCAGACCCACCCCTGGGGACTATTGAATACTCATGTAATTGTTAAAATTTGATGAAGTTACATGACTATTCAATCACCTTCCCTTTCCCTTTGTTGCTACCTATTTTTAAATACTTCATGGATTTTAAATGGAGAAACTAAACCAGCCTCTGATTTGTCACCCACTTCGTATAAACAGATTTCGTTTTGCTTTATGCTTCATCTGCCGTGGGGCATGCAATCATTTTCTAGTTATGTGGAGCGGTGGGTGTGCATCAAAGGGCGACTCTATGGATTCCTCTCTAGCTAGAAGACTATACAAAATGTACTTATACTGTATTTTTACTAATAAATGTACAAATATATTATTAATCTAGCACCATAAATATGCCCGCATTTTACAAAAACAGAGAAAGACAAAGAAAGTTTCTTGCTTGAAAGAGATTTTAATAAAAGGCCAAACTGTGGCTGTACCACCTTGGGTGCAATAGCAGAGGGCAGAAAACACAGAAAGTTCTTTCCTCTTTCTCTCCAAGCAGAAGGCAGCCAAAATGTTGAAGTACGTGCTTCTGAGTGCATGGGGGAGGGGGACTACAGATAACTGCAATGCTGTGCACTCCAAAAGTAACATGATCAGGAGAGCTAGCTGGAGGAGGCATGGGCAATGCTTTTTTCAAAGCAGAAAACATGTCATTTACGAGAGTGCTCCCATAAACATTCTGCGTAACATCTCCAGTCATTACCACTCTGGAAGCACAATTCCATTACTGGTGGATTAAGACTAAATGCAGACCTGATCCAAAGTAATCCCTTCCCCCTAAAGAAAAAAGAGGGCCCACCACAACAAATCAAAGTCCCTCTACCCCCCAAAACCTGCTTGTTTGACATGTATTTCTATTCGAGTCAGATAAATAAACTTGCTACAACCTGAAAATCACTTCTCCACAATACAAACACAGAGAACACAGGTCCACTTCATCCTGGTGCAAGGGCTCAGCACGATTCAGGCTCTACGCTGAGGGAGGACACCGGTCTCTCCAAAGTGGGCTCAGGTAGGGATGAGCCATTGGCAGGCTGCCGCCTTTGGATCACCAACACTGGAGGGTGAGAGAGGGTGCAGAGTGCATGTGTGAAAAATGTTGGCTCGGCAGCCATTCTCTCCCTGCGCTCTGAGGGCCACTGTCGACCTGGAACTCCACTAGGTTGGTTAGACTCTGCATCATCCCACAGCTGCGGTTTAAAGGCAGAATCGCGCCTTTATTTATACATGACATACATGCTATAAACATATTTGTCACTGAGCGAAGGATTCTGCTTTGTCCACACATACAACTCAGATGTACTTGTCATCTATATTAATCCCCTCACACACACACAAACACAGAGCAGCTCTGAAGTCCAATAGGAAGTTTTTGCTTAAACAAGGGAGAGCAGGACGATATCATCTACACGTTTTGCTACTTCATATTTCAGAGGAAAGAAAACCCATAACTTCCCAAATTCTCAAAGAGATACATAGGTTTTACTCAGCCAATGGGCCAAATATGACCAAATGCTACGTACCCCTGAAAACCAAGAGTTATTTGCTCATATGCTTTCATATAGTTTCAGCTGCCCAAATACTCTAAATCTATCATGGATATTTTAACGATGCCTCAACCCTACAGTCTGATCCAACAACTCAGTAATGGTTGCTGATATCCACTTTAACTCTAGTGTTTTCTTTTGCCCTTACTGAGTCTTAAAGCAACAACATTTTATTTGAGTTGGAGAGTTCAGGAACAGATAAGCTTCCTCATAGGGAGAGAGATATATGGGAACCCTGGGAATGCTGCATTTGAAATGAATTAAAAATAAATTAATGGACTAAGACTAGAAGAAAACCCTCCTGGTCTCTTCATTAAGTTCTTTTTTTTTTTTTTTTTTTGGTTTCTCTGAGACAGAATGGTTTCTGCATTCAGACAATGTGTTCTGATGCCAGTAAGCCAGACACAAATGTATAGCTGGAAAAGAAAGTATGAATGATATAGTACTGCTGTATTAGGGCAGATTTTTCACAAGTGACGAAGAACTACATAATTCACATGAGACAAGGCTTTGCATGAGATAAAATATGTAGGTCATCTTTTCATCATGGGAAACTTTTAAAATTTTGACTTATTTTCAATTTAAGATCACTTAAGACATGCTGCAAATTTTGGGTTATACTGTGGTGTTCAAACAGAGAGTTAAGTAGGATGGGAGGGGAATACCCTGAGCAGCAGTTCCTGAAGTCATTCTGCTGACAGGGGACAAAGGCTTTGTCTATACTTACATGGAGATTGATGCTCCAGAGATTGATCTTCCAGGGTTTGATTTAGCAGGTCTAGTAAGGACCTGTTCAATCAAATGCAGAGGGTAGCCCTGTCAACCCTAATACTTCACAGAGTCACCAGAGGTAAGGCAACTTGATGGGAGAATTTCTCCCATCAACCTCCCGCTGTAGGAGCACCCCAGAAATTTGGTTTAAGATATGTGAATTCTAGCAATGCAATTGTTGTAGCTGGAGTTGAGTATCTTAAATCAAATTTCTCCCATAGTGTACACCTGGCCAAAGACAGAGAGCAAGCCTCCAGGCGTGCTTTGGGAGGACATGCAGAAATGGTTGTTACTACAGTTCTTAACGCAATGGTTTTGCACCCATTAAGTCAGTGCAAGTTGTACTACTGACTTCAGAGCATGCAAAATCTGACCCCAAAATAATGCAACACAGAATCCCTTCTCCGCTGATCTTGGACAGCCAGCCAGTGCAGAAGTCAGACAAGGATATGGCAATGCCCCCCCACAGGCTAGCTTTCATTAAATACCCTGAAAAGGGCATAGAGCACAATAGCACATCACAATGTCGGAACGTGACGTTATGTAATCTCAGGAATTGCAGCCCAATTTTTATGAATGAGATTTTCTAAATGAAACAGTGTTAACCACTTTTGGATTAATTCATTAATAGCCTGTTAAAAATAGCCTTCGAGGAATCTGGTATTGTAACTCCTTTATAATAAATTGTAACAAAAGTGACTCCATATTGGAACTGAAACTCCATTT